CTATATACTTATCATTTAGATTTTATAATTGTTCATATTTTGTCATATTTAACTCCCCACCTTTCTTTCTCTCTGCTGAAGTATTTTAAATTAAATTATAGACATCATGGCATACCATCTTTGAATACTTCAGTACCCATCCCTAAAAAGTAAGAACATTTTCCTACAGAACTACAATATCGTCATCACACATAACAAAATTTAAAATATCACAGAGATTTTTCAATGCATGCCCTTTTGTACCTCTTATATTTTGAATCCTTGGCTATGTAACTTATTCAATAAACAATAAAATTTAAAATTAAAAATAAACTGAATAAGACCTTTAATACTTAAAATTGCCAGAAAGCTATGGGAGCTGCTCAAGGCACCATTAAGGGACAGGAAAGGATTTACAAGAACAATGAACCGTCTCAAAAAAAAAAAAAAAAAAAAAAGGAAAAAATCCGAATCATTATATTTTAATGCCCACCTAAGTTGAGGCTGGTGTAAGTGGGGCTTTCAACAAGTCAGTACTGACAGAGCATGGTAGGTATGAAAAGTCAATCCAAATCCCAAAGTGTCTATTGCTTTGAAGAAAAGTTTTGTCCTCTCCATCATGGAAAGAGTTGAATGTAATCAATTTACCATCAGGTGACTGGCTGTTTCCACTGTGATATTACATCATATCTAGGGATTAGGATTGGTTTTGGCTCTTGCAAATTGGATTTCAACAGAAAAGCTTTTGTCTTGTTTTTTGAGCCTATGTACAGCCTTCATCATGGCAGGCATGGTCACTATGTTCAAAAGTTTCTTGAGCAAATGCTGAAATAGCTGAAAAAAGAGTTGCTGATATCCATAGAGCAGATTGTTAAGCAACAAAACTTGGGTCTGCTTCTCCAGTGCAGCAGAGCCAAACATTGACACTAGGATTTGCAGTGAGAGAAAGTAAGGCATTTATTGCAGAGCACCAAGCAAGGTAATGGACTAACACTTAAGATCTGAAATCTTTGTAAGATGGCTTACAAGCAAGAGTTTTTAAGCCATGGATGAGGGGGTTCTCCAATGTGAGTTAAAGGCTGGAAAATTTCTAGGACTTCCTTATCCATCTTCTGGTTCCTGTTTGTCAAGGTCTATATGACAGTGACCAACATTTTCCATCTGGTGGAGGTCCTGGTTTCTGAAAAACAACTCAACTCAAGGACATATGTCAACATGTTATCTTTAGTTTCTATAAGGAAACAAATATCTCATGACTGACTCACTTGAGTGACTATTGTTTGTGCTATTTTTATCTTCTTGCTTAGCAGGTTATTAATTTATTTCCCTAGTTACTGGTTGCAGGGTGCCCGGAATTTCCCTTGAAGGGACTCACAATTTTTCCTTTATTTTCAAGCTTAAGGAGGGATCCCAGTAGGCTGTGAAGAGGAGGAGTCCATGTTCTCTTTCAACATCATCTTGTTCACTTGCTTACTGAAACCCTCTGACACAGTAGGTTAATGAAGATTCATATAGGATACAAATATTTGTACATTTGGTATCCATTCTAAGAGATCTATCCACATGCGAGCTAGTTCCATCAATAATCTCTTTGTCACCAATCCTCCAAGTCCTTCTTTCCTTCCTTCTTCCCTCCCTCCCTCTTTTCCTTTCTTTCTCCCTTTCCCTCTCTCTCTTTCCTTCTTTCTTTCTCTTTCTTTCTTTCTTTCTTTCTTTCTTTCTTTCTTTCTTTCTTTCTTTCTTTCTTTCTTTCTTCTTTTCCTTCCTTCCTTCCTTCTTTGCTTCCTTCCTTCTTGCTTGCCCTTTCTTTCTTTCTTTTTCTTTTTTTGCTTTATTTCATTTTAATTTTTTTTAGCTTATGGCATAACCCACAGCAAAGTTAGTATCTCAATACGTCTGCTTCTAGATTCAGGTAATCCTCAACCTTTTGGACTGATTTTGCAGTCAGTATTTCTTGTCTTTGAGTTGGTATGGCATTTTCAATATTCAGTGGGGATTTCCAATTATAAGTTAAAAATAATCTCTTCTGTCCCAGGACACTCATCAAAGTATTGCTATAGTGGAATCTTCCCCGAAACAGACAAATGAAAGCTAGTCTCTATCAGGGCTGTTTAACCACTGTGAAGTCCAATGTGCTGCCCACTTGACTCTGAGCTGGAGCCTGCCTGAGCCCTATAGTTGACCCACTTAGCAAACACGTATAAACCAGTGAGAGACCCTAACCAACTGCCAGTGAGACATTTAAGAAGTTTCATACAAATATTAAATCGCGTTTACTTGTCACAGATGGTCATCCAAAATGGAAAAGAATAACATATTTAAATAGTCTATTCAAGTCCAAGAGAAGTTGAGCATTTGCTCTCATTTCATAGTTTGTTAGGAAAGTTTGTAATGAGGGATTTGCAAGTGAACATGTTATGGTGGAAAAAGTGATGTGAATTTTTGAGCAAATTTTCTGCATGTTAGTGCTCTTGATGATTATATACTTATCGGATATTTGAAAGAAATAGAAGTAAAGCATAAAACTCAGGTTTATTTAATGCCCTCAGAAGGCTAGGCTGAGGAAAACAATAAAGAAATTTTCAGAGCTACTACCGTTTTGGAGTTTAAACAGATCATGGAGCCTCCATTAACACACAAGATACTTTCTTACTGCTTTAATAAAATAAATGATAAGATTCTGTTAAAAC